GTGTAAAGAGAAGAGCTTCTGCAGTACGTGACCGCTGGTCAGGGGTCCTGCGTGCGGCTCGCTGAAGCGTAGGGAACTTCGATCGGTTCCACAGAAATACAGATAGTGCGGCTGCCCCATCGATTTCACCATACAGTGGGTAAGGTAATGCACCAAATTTTTCGTTATAAACTACTCTGGTAACTTTAGACTAGAGTAGACCACCTGCAGCATTTAGAGCAGGTGGAAACGGGGAACACCAAATAATCCGCAGAGTTCCCGTATACTCTCTCCTTGTCTTCTTTGGAATATGTATCACAGAATTATCTTTTGTGTTCACGCCGTTTACTTCCCTATTTTTGGAGTTCCAACGACCGTGGAACCCCATGACCTTTCGCCCGCATCCAGCGTAGGTCGTTGCATGGACTGTCCCAATTAAATGGTGCCTTGATTGACTAGAAGCTATACCGAAATATTTGTTGTCTATTGGGGATTTACCCTGAAAGCACTCCCAAATACGTGGGAGTATAACGCTTTTAGTTGACTGCTCTGNTCTATTGGGGATTTACCCTGAAAGCACTCCCAAATACGTGGGAGTATAACGCTTTTAGTTGACTGCTCTGGTGGTTCCCGCAGAGCGAATGAGGTTGACTGCTACTCCGTGAAGTTTCATTTTATCATCTCCTTGACCGATCTATTCTTCTAGTAATGCAGATAACTGTGAGTTTGTCAAGCGTAGGCTAAGACAGGCAATCGCCGTCTTTTATTCCGCACTTTAAACTTTCTCCCCCCATCTTCCCTACACTTGCTCAATGCTATATCTGTAGTGCACAGGCACTACAACGGGGCTGAAGTGGAACCTTCATAGACCTTGTTATATGAAAAAGAACAAATATAATACTAAGAGAGATAAATGGTAATACTTTAGATATGAAATTTACGATAACCAACTCAAGTTTGTTCGGCAGCCACACCAGATTACGGCTGGCTGGGAGACTGATGCTGGCGTTGAGACACTGACTCACTTCAGAGTCAGGGGGAGATATATTATCCAGAGGTTTCCCTTCTGCGATTAGTGGACTCGAATATGTGGGGGCATTCTAGCAAATAAAAGACTGCAAAACACAAATACCAATACTAGCCCCCGTAACGGCTCCCTCATCCATTACAGGTGCTCAAACTCTTGCAGATGACGCTCCTCCACCCTGCTGCCTGTTGGGTGAACTCCTTATGATGCCATTTTCTCGGAAGGCGCAGCCGTTCAGCGTGCTCCTACTCGCTGCGGGAGGTGTGTGGGCGATCGCACAAGCGTCGTCACCCGCACCACTCCATTCACCTTTTGTCTTCCACCTATGTGTATGGTCAAAATATTATATCTACCGACTCGCCGCTAGCCATCCACGCCGTGTCTATATCTTGTCGACCGCCGTTTTTGATTAGTTGCCTGCTGTCTTAACGTCAGTGTCGCGTGTTCAGGCCGAATGGCCTGGCTTAGATGCTGCTCCACATCCCTTGCTTCCTTGAAACAGTTTGTGAAAGGTATTTAAGGTGTTGCACGAAC